AAATTTTATTATATCTCACTCATAATATAATAAAATATACAAAAAAAATTATAACTAAATAATTAATATTAATTTTAACCTACTATATCTAAAGTTTTATCTAATTAAATACATTTAAAATAAACATCTAAAGGTAATTAATATCGATTTAGAGAGTTTACCAAACTTGAATTTTGGTTGGTAATGTCTTTTAGCTACAAAAGAAACAAAATGCCAAAACTAATAATTATTATACATATAGTTATTTGTAGTTTTATTAACTCATAAATAAATTAAAACATATTTAATAATCACTTAATTTTAATAAAAATATTAATACAATAAAATCACAATATATACCTCAAGAGAATGAAGAAGTTGATGAAAATTAATTTAATTACTAATATATGTTTGAGAATTTTATGATAAAAGATAATAAATAAATGATACTTGATATATCATTAATGGATAAAAAATGAGTGAAATATGGGCGATTTGTGCAAAAAAAGAAAAGGCTGAGAAATGGAGAAGGCATGTAGAGAGCATGCAAGAGAGAATGGGAGGAAAAATATGATAGCATTGGTCAACTGTGTTGGGGTGGGAGTATATATAATGCCTTCATCATCATATAGCATGTTGCTAAAAGGTTTTCCCCCAATTAGCAACATATTCCATGTTGCTAAAAGTTGGTTTAATTTGAAAATGCATAACTCATCACCGACATGTATCTCATTGCTAAAAATTAAAATTACCTTTCCTGCCCATTGTGTCATTCATTTACTTAAAAAAATTTATTTTTATCTCTATAGTTGAAATTATTAGTTGATTTTTGTGATTTTATTAAATATTACTTAACATTTAACACATTAATTAATATAACTATTTTATTTACTCTTTATTTAAATGATTTAAGTCTTTAATTTATCTAAAGAAATAATAAGGACATCTTTTTCAATTTACAGAAGTATTTCACATATAAATATAAGATATTTTTTGCTTAAGAGTCGACTATTAAAAATGAGAGTGGATTCTTTCTCATTAAGAGTCGACTCTTCACATGGAGAGTCGACTCTAACCTACATCTAGAACTTCTTAACTCTCTGAAATTCAGCAGTCGAATCTTTACCTTTAAGAGTCGATTCTGAGCGCCTCAAGAGTCAAATATAAGTTTTTAGAGTTGACTCTTTACTGGAAACACATATTATGCATGTAATATTTAGCTTAACATCATGGATAAATAAATAATGTGTCAAAATATAATTATCTAATTCATTTAAAATTACAATTTTGCCCTCCTCTTCATCCTTAACATCCTCTTTCTCAAATCTTCTTCATTCATTCTTCTTTTTCTCTTTCTTTGCCTCCTCTGAATCCACTTTCATCACCATTTTTCTAAATCAAACAATCAATTCATTAATAATTTTTCTCCAAGTCTACTTTCATCACCAGTTTTTCAAACACACGAAAGAACCCAGTGGCTATTGGGTTCGAAATTGAATGCCCATTTTTGGCTTTCTTTGTTTTTCCTTTTTCCCTTTCTTCTTCCTCTTCCTTTCCTTTCACTTTTTGTAAACCCAAACACCTTCAACATCAAATCCAAGTATAACACAAACATAAACCCAAATTCTCCATAAAAACCCAAAAAAATCAAGGTTTTCTTCTCTCAAATTTTGACAAAAACCCAACTAAAGCACTTAAAACAAAGACCAAAAATCAATTGCAAGAAGAAGAAAAACCCAAACCAATCAAAATCTAGCAAATCTGTTGGGTTTGAAAATCCCCAGCAAAGCTACTACTTCCATCGAACCCAATAGAATTTGAAAGGGAAAAGGAAAGGGAAGAGGAAAAGGAAGAGGAAAAGGAAGAGGAAAGCGCGCGGGGAAATCGAGGAGAGAGAAAAACTCTTGTTTTATTTATTTATTTATTTATTT